GCAGTGTTTCGATGAGGACGCCATCGGGATGCTTCTTCCATCACTTTCTGGAAGCAATCCAGATACACATGGCCACCCTATGGCTATCATTGGCTATCCGGCCATATTCCATGGCTATATTATGCTAATTTATGCTATCTCCAATGAATCCAATCAGGACATATTTTGCCACAAGGTTTGGCGGGAAGGCCATGCCCCTTGCAGAAGCCGCAGGATGGCTTCTGTATCTTCGAGTCATTTTTGAGGCCGAAGTTGAAATGCGTTTGTATTTTCTATCCTGCATGGATAAGGATAATGATCTCCGTATAATATAGATAAACAGATACTGTAGATAAACTTATAGCCGATAGAAAGATATGGATAGATTGTTTGACTGATAGATGGATCGATGGAAAACATACCTGTGTTTATGTTCTTTCTGCGTTGAAACCACCAACCAGACGATCATTTGTAAGGGGAATCACCCAAAACTGGCTGAACCGTGAAATGGATGAATACTCAAAATGAAGCCAGATGCAACAAACGTATACAAACCTGCTATTCTGAAATCGTGTCATGTGGGTTACATAAAATTCCAAAGCACATTGCCACCTCACCACCAGCAATTTATCAGGCACATTGCCAAACCGCCGATGCGTGTTGTTGGTGAGTGGTGCAGCGACAATTTTCACAGTCGAAGAAGTCCCATCATACAATCTTCGCCGTTCCTAGGGATTTTAATCACCGCGAATCTGATGCGAAAATACATGGTCTCTTGAAACAGTATCATCAACACCAAGCATGTTTCAACAGGTGGAAAGAACATGGACATGACAAAGACAAGTAAGCAATCTACACATGTGGAATTTCCGCCATGTTTGAGTGCTGCTAGACCTTAAGCCACCAGCATTTGTTCATATCCCCAGTTGGGTTTGAAAGTCGGCTGATGTGTTTTCCTTATGTTGGTTGATTAGTGTAAAAGATGAAAACTCCTATTTGTGTAGCTTATTAGTCCCTTTCTCCCCAGCACTAATTTGAAATCATATCAATAACCTACGTTTTATTACTTCACTATTCACTATTGGCGGGGTCGACATGTCCATGGAGTCTAAGTTACCCAATGTGGTAGCTGCTCATGTTTTATTGGCATCAAACTTTAAATACTTTGAATAGACTCTGAAGTTTACTGCCGGTTACTTTGCGATTGGTTTAACTCTAATTGAACTAAAGTCAATTGTGGTTTAAGAAGAGTTTACAAGTAGTCACTATACGGATACATCCCCCAGTGATCTATAAAATGGATATAAATGGGGGTTGAAAGCTGGGCAGATCAACGACTATACTCTCCTGTAAACTAAGATGTGGAAAACCTAGTATTTCCAGGTGATTTTCTTAAGTAAACCATAGGGCCTTCCACATTTTTCTGTATGTTTACTCTAGGGTAAATCCTATTTCTGCTGGTTAAATCTCCATTTTGGTTGATTAAAAAGTCCCATGAGCATCCCATTTCTGGTATTTCTGTTGGTGAAAATCACATTTGGGATGTAAAAACCATATCTGTTCGGATTTCCAAAGACTACTCCTAACTACCCCATCTTGGCTTCGCAGGCCGCAGCACTTGGAGGAGCTGCGAAGCTCCTTCGATACGCGCAGCTTGGTTCGCTCTAGGATGGGTACCCACTGCAAACGAATACAGAAAAAGAGCCACGAAACAATGTGTACAGTAAGTTGGTTCACAATTCATGATTACAATTAGGGATGTATACATGCGGATATTAGAGAGATTTATGTCGTGTAGATATTAGATATACCATATCGATCCATATCGATATATACATATATATAAATATAAATATAAATAAATATATATATATATTTATATACCGATACTAAATCTATAATATAGTCTATAATTAGATAGGCGTATCAACCAACGTTACAAGTTGGGCCTTCCGGTGCTCGCCTGGAAACATTTGTTGCCCATGAATTTCAAAAGGATGATAAGACATGTTAATGCACCACAGGCTTCTTGAATTTAAACGATTACATTCTTTTATAAGAAAATTGCTGCCCCTGTCTTGAGGAATGGCTCTTTTCCGAGAGTTACTCGTATCATGGACTGTATGTTTCTTCATTCATTTACCAATTTATTTGAACATAACATTAAAAAATCGAGGTACCATCCTATGTTGGGCGGTTTTTCTGTTACAAATGCAGCGCCGTACCCGAGGGCTACGTGAACTCCTGGCTGATAATGTGGAGGTGTGGTCTCGGATGGTGAAACATGGGGCATCGGTGATCACTCGGTAAATTGCAAAGAATAAAGGACGTCTAGACGGGCAATCATCAAGTTGGTAATGTAGCTAAATAGCGAAATATTATCAAATATTCATGTTACGTGATTTTGAAGAAGCCTGGTTTGAATCAGAGTATGTATTTGAAACATTTTGAAACATCATGGACATATATCTCTCTATCACATATGTATTTATATATATATATATAATTTATACACTATATATATATATAATATAATGATTCATACTCTAAATCATGAATCCTGCCATTTTTTTCCAGCAACTCAGCTGTCCAAAAAAAGTGACGCTGGAGGTGGATTTGGGTGTCAACTGGGCCTGCCCTTCTGCCGAACCCTTCCTGCGCGTGCTTCAAGATGAAAGGTGGCCGGATCGCGTTGGGGTTGGCCGGTGTGTTCTTCGACATGGGAAACCTTCTTGGGACATTAAACCTTGGAATGAAAACATGAATCTATATGGCACTTGAATCTAGAATTATATAAAAGACTTATATTCCCATAACCTTGGTTTTGTGTTGACCAAGGAGGCAATGACCTGCCTTGAAAGGAGTGGCCAGCATCCCGGTATCCCTGCGTTTCCTCGTAGCGGGTATTTGTGTCCCCCTTCTGGGATGATGATTCATGATGATTCCAGCGAAATAGTTGCTTCAATTTCTATCATCACCAATCATCACCCATGTTTTTTTTATCAATGATATGTATATGTATATATATATATATATATTCATTACCCAATGAACATGTGAACCATCACACACACACATATCTATATTTGTATCTGTATCTATGTCTATATCTATATCATACCTATATATAACTAATCCGTAGCACATATTTTAATGGGGTCGGCTCACCCACCATCAGCTCTTGTGCCACAACGGAAGCACATCGCTTCACGAATCGTGCGAGGCTTCTGGACTTCTTGGTGGAGCTCTGCGGCTTGCCATTGGTGGCCATGCGCTTGGAGCTCTTCGAAAAGAGGCGATGGACGGATAGGGTCGGAATGTCGGGGGTAAAAAAAAGGCATTGACCTTTCCGAGGATGACATGTGTTTTGATTGTGTTTTTGTTAGGTGTTTTTGTTAGGTGTTGATTGTTGTTTATTTGATTTGATTTGACAGTTTGGCAGGACTTCGGAGGTTTTCGGATGTGTAATTATTTCAATTGACGTTCTGAGGACTTTTGGATGTGTCTAACTTTTCTCGTTTATTGTTCTTTGATTGTGTTTGGATGAAATGATTTCGACGCTTGCAAATTTGTGTGAATACGTACTGCATACATCTAATATATATATATATATTTATATATATCTATCTTTCTGGTTGGTGGTTTGGAACATTTTTTATTTTCCATAATGTATGGTATAATCCTTCCCATTGACTTTCATATTTTTCAAAAGTTGGTTAAAACCACCAACCATATATATATATATATATATATTCATATTTGTGCCATCACAAGACCTATTTATAGAATGCTGGTAAATATTCCATACATGGAGCCTATATGGGTATATATATATATATATGTCGTTGGCGTCCTCGCAGGCCGGGATCGACGAATCTCATCCCTTGGCATCAGGCGCCCGCTGCTATAGTGGTTCTATATGGAATAAATAGATAACACTAACACATAGATAAGTCATAAACCAACTATTTGCAAATATAGATCTATCTAATTATCTAATTTATCTTACTGTATCTTATCCTTGTTTTTATTTTATCTTGTCTTATCTTATCTATCTTTCTATCTATCTATCTGACTATCTATCTATCTACCTACCTATCTATCTATCTATCTATCTAACTATCTATCTATATGTCTATCTTATCTGATCTAACCTAATCTAATCTAATCTAATCTAACCTATCTATCTATCTACCTATCTATCTATCTATCTATCTATCTATCTATCTATCTATGTATATATATATGCTAGTTATTGCTTCGTCCTGAACGTCGTCCAATACGGCCCCGGGGAACTTGCTGGGATGTTTTTAACAGAGACGCTGCTGATGTTTGGGGTGGGGTGGGGTGGGATGTTAACGTTCATGGACGCTGCTGATGTTACGCTGCCCGTTGGGGTTGGGGTGGGGTGGGGTGGGATGTTAACGTTCATGGTACGCTGATGATGTTACGCTGCCCGTTGGGGTTGGGGTGGGGTGGGGTGGGATGTTAACGTTCATGGTACGCTGATGATGTTACGCTGCCCGTTGGGGTTGGGGTGGGGTGGGGTGGGATGTTAACGTTCATGGGAAGCGCTTATTCAGGAGAGGTGCCGCGCAGTCTTCTGTCAATGCAGAAAAGATTGAAGAGTACGTTGCAGTGGCAACTGCAGCATGGACCGCAGATTCGCAGGTAGGTTCTATGTACATACCTCTCTGAAGTGTCTGGAAAAGAATGCTGCTGCCGCCTTTGTTTTGGCATGTTACATGAAGGCTGCATCTCAAAGCTTGGAACAGGTCTTTTGCAAGGTCGTCTGGCAGGTTGCGCCAAGCTCTAGATATAATCCATTTTCATGTTGGTTTCCACAAAGAGTGCATTTCTCTAGAAAATGTCTGTGAGTCTCCAAATACCATATATATATATAACATATATTCATCTCCAATGATAAAATGACAGAAATTTATGTGTGCATCCAAAGCTAGCTTCCTTTCTCGATTGGTTCCGCAGTTTTGTTTCGCGTCGAAAAGGAGGTAGCGGTCAAGATGCCTCTGAACAAAGGGAAGTCATGTCGACTCTGTGGCTCCACCAAGCACACCTTGGCAACTTGCTGTTGCCGTGGTGCTCCTGAGTTTAGAAAGCTGCTGAAGGCTAACCAATGCAAGGCCAAATCGAAGCAGAGTAGAACGTGCCGTGGGACTGGCACTGCTGCTGCGAGGAAAAGGGGTGCCAAGCCAGCAAAAAAGGTCGCTGTGTCCTCTCGGAAACGGCAAGCCATAGCTCGTGCCAACTACTCTGGCGACAAGAAGACTTTCGACCAAAGACATGACAGGCAAGGCTCAGGCGGCTCTGTTTGCTCAAAGCCGGAGAAGGCCTTAGAGGAGTTGCAATCTCTGGGCTTTGTCAATCGGCCCGGACTGTGTAGCTCGTGTGGCGTGGGGCAACTGCTCGGACCAGTTCCTCGTCACGATGCGGGTTCAGAAGGATCCTTGTACTACAGATGCTCGAATTGGGAATGCAAGAAGTACACCAATTGCTTGTCCCTGCAAACCTGGCTTTGTGGACTTGGACGCTTTGGGTTGCTGACACCGGTGCGGCTTTTGGGCATTATTAAGGTTTATGCGACCAGAAAATATCCGCGGCCGCAGAATGCGTGGCCTTTGGTTTCTCGGCTTGCGATCCAGGTCATATCATGTTTTTTTCGCTATGACGGCCTTTCTCCCTCTTACGGTTTCGAATGACCATGGCCTAGGTTTAACCACACAAGATAAAAATGGTTGAAGCCCCGTTGCCAGGCTTGTGAAAACTACAAAGTGGTGCGCTTGGTGATGGATCGTCTTCGCCACCTTGAAGCAGAGGCAGGTCTGCGCATGTGCAAAGAAGAGTCATGGAAGCTCCGTGGCTCCGTCGAAGCCGATGTCACCTCTGTCCGCAAAATGCCGATCAGCCTGAAGAATCCGTATCCTGTCCATTTATCTTAGTTTCCACAAACGAGTCAAATGGAACGCGTTCGTGTCTTTTTTTTAAAACTATGCAGCACACACTTCCAGGCACTGGTCTTCTCAGATCGCGTCATGGCGCAAGGTGCATCCTCGTGAGAAGCCGAAGCATCTCCTATTGTACTGGCGGTGGGGAGGCCTAGTGGAGCGAGGCCAAGGAGGAAAGATCGTGTTGGCAGAGCTTCCTCATAAGTTGGTCAGCCCTGACGCCCGTCCACCGGTGGAAAGCAACAGTGAGATTGAAGCTTGTGCCTTCATGTCTCGCATCCATGGCTCCGCTACCGTGTTCGCCGATGGCGCCCGGTCTTGGCGAGCTCATGCCAAGGCCAAGCGTCTGAAGTTTTCACAAGTGAATCACTCCAAAATGCAATTCACCAAACCGCGTGGTCCTCGTCGCAAAGCGGCCGGAACCCAAGTTCTTGACCGCCAATGGAAGTCACTGAAGCAGTATGTGCCATGCGAAGTGGCCAACAAAAACGCTCAGAATCAGTGTACAAGTCCAAATCTGCTCTATAATGTACGCAACAAGAATTTAACATATTGCTGGCTACCAAGCGGTTTTTTTTCCGCTGATTTGCGCATGGACTTGTAAAACCCATTGGAAATAGCACAAAATGGACACAAAGTGCTGTAAAACGCAAGGCATTTGCACATGGTGCAAAATCCATGGTAACAGAAAGTGCCATGAGGGTTATCGAAATGGCAAGATGCTTGTTTTCAAAACAAGCAAAAACAGCGGGACCGTAATGGAAGACGTTACCTAGTTATTGGAATCATAAAGCAACTTAGCTAAGTATGGGGCACCACCTTGTGGGAACGAAAGTGACCACCGGATCTTTGGGCTTTTTTGACGCCATTTGCAACACGGCCGAGAGCTGAAGATGACCTGGTTTTCTCCAGTTCTGGGGGTTCAACCGTTCAACCACCCCAAAATGGTGGATATTTGAAAATCGGAAGTAATTGGTTTTGACTCAATTGGCTTAGAAAAAAACCATCAACATTTTTTTTGGTGCATGATATATTAGCCAATTAGGACTTATTAATATATATTGCATAATAATAGGACTCACTAATCAGGAATAAACAGGAATTATTAGTCCTCATGATATATCATGCCTTTTGTTGGTGCATGATGGCGTATGAACCACCAGCAACCACCCATCAGGGCTTAGTGATCATTATTTTTTCATGGCTTACCAACTGCCAACAACCACTAACCAGAGTTTATCAACCATGAATTATTATCAGCAATAAACACGTGTATAAGAGCCTGTCAATCATGATAACCATCGATGTTATTGCTCAGTGGCCACCATGGGGACTGTCGTCCTATTATATCCCGCTATATCCTTTTGTATCCCGTTGTATGCCCTCAGTTGTCTTGTCAAATCGCCCATTTACAGCGTATGGAAATTCGTGGTGGGGTCAGCTGAATCCCGATTACCCTCTGGTAAACTAACATAACTATGGAAAATCACCATTTTTAACGGGAAAATCCATTATAAATGCCCATTTTCTATAGCTATGTTAGTTTACCAGAGGGTACCCTCAGATATTTCCTCAGATATCCCTCCCCATGAAAACTGGATGCTTTACCTCCAATGCCTTGGCAATTTGTGCATCAAAATTCAGCCGTAGCAATTTCAGGTACCTGGAGGTACCGACCATTTTTCAATATTTTTCAGGCCTATGATGGGCTAAATTTCAGTGGTTTCTATGGCTTTGTATTGTACAGTACCTCTACTTTAGGGTCCTGAAATGACCATTGATGACATGTGTTGTCTTGACATTGGCATCCCATTCATACCTATTGTGGCTGGCTATATATATATATATAATGTTACATCCCTATTATTCTTCGTTGCATACCTATTACCCTCTGGTAAATTAAGATAGACCCTGAAAATAACCATTTTTTTTGGAAACGAATCTTCCCAACCCCTATTTGGCGCTATGTGAATTTAATGCCTATTATGCTTGATAACATCCTTATTGTTCTCGGTCATACCCTGCCAGGACACTTACACAACCCACGTGGGCTTTAGCTGGAGCCCCGCAGAGGCGGAGGCGGCGGCCAAGCCGCACCCGGTGACCTTGTGCCTTGGATTCGTTGGTCATAGATATATTGGGACAATATCATGGGTACATAATGGAAATAAACATATATATATATATGATTATTGATATATATATATATAATATATATATATATAGTAATATATATATAATTTGTATATATATATATATATATGTGTGTGTTTAATATACATATATATATATAGAATTTACATATTATATATGTTATATATATATGTATAAATGTATACGCATAGATTTATGTAAGTATGTGTATTCATCTATACATGCATAGATCAATATATGTTTTTGTTTGTGTAGATATGTGTATATGTATATCCACTGTTGGCTAAATAAACATGGTGATTTGACCAGCAAAAATCATGCTCGGGAAGCCCACCGACAGTAGGTGTGCGAAGGTTTATTGTGGATGAGAAGAATTGAACTACCCTCTGGTTATTTAACATAGCCATGGAAAATCACCATTTTAATAGGTAAACCATCTATAGATGGGCCATTTTCCATGGCTATGTTAAATAACCAGATGGTATAGTTGGTTACAAAGATGTTTCATAGATGTTTTTTGCAACCATTGGCAACCATTGGCAACCCTTCTCATCATATTTTTTGGACCTATGTTTATCAACGTTTCTGATGGATATGAATGGAAATTTTCTGCTTGGTGTTTAATTTTTCAACCCATCCAACTAGATCCAGCCATTCAGCATCCAGCAAAAATTGTGAAGCTAGACAAAACCAACCTAGTGAAACTGTTGAGCTTCCGCATAGCAGATCATGTCCCTAGGGGTTTTCCCATGGCTTCCCCCTATGAGACCTGTCGTGTTGAAACCATGAATAAAATAGACATAGCTATGGTACCACACGTTGTTCATGGTTTCAACACGACATAGATGGGGAACCATTTAAACTATGTTTACAATACCATTGAAATGATGTTACCGATGTTACCTTGTTTTTTTTTGCTGTTGCCCAGTGGGCCAAGTGGGGACAAGGTGGGTGGCACTGGACACTGCATCCTCTGAATCTGGAGGTATGGAGCTCCGTGGTAGACATTGAGTACGAGAATTTGATAAATGGGATGGGATATCCCATGAAATTTCACTGATAAATCTGGCTTAATCTGGCTATTTGTATGGGATATTTGATGAGATTGAGTATTTGATGGGAGTTGCAGCATCCCATGATTTTTTTTGATGAGATGCGCAATTTTGAAACTGATATCATCATTTTACATGTGTGTGTTTGATGCCTGGAAAATGGTCTCTTGGGGTTCCATGTGATATTTTCTTTGGGGGTTGTTGAAGCAGTAGAATCGGTATTTTTTGGAGTTTTGGCCAGTGCTGCTGGAAATCAGAATGTCCCTGCACTTGTGGATGGTTGATTCTTAGTTGCTGGATTGTGCATGTGTGGAATCTAGATCTAGCTACGAATAAATGGATGTGAATGATTAAAAATCAAGAGAAGCAGACTATCCGATAGGTTGATAGATGAACATGTAGATGGACATGTGTGTAAAGACTTGTTCATGAGGTACTGGTCCCATCAGCTCAACATGTGTTGCAAAGTTTTGCCAGTTATGCGTATATGAGTACACATATAGATACTCACATAGGTATGATGTGCACACACACACACATCTCTGTCTCTCTCTCTATATATATATAATTATATATATTATATATACATATATATATATATATATATATATATTATATGTACCTATATATATGCATGAATGTGTATATTGTATAAACAATTATCCACATGCATGTGTACATATACATATTGATACATCTAATCGCCGTGATCGCCGAGGATGGTCCCCGGACGGCACCGCGAACTGCTGGGCGCCGCTGTCCCGAAGGGAGCCATCGTGGATGCCGCAGCACATGGCGTCTCGGCACAGCCACGTTGCTCCAGTTCGTTAGATAACTTGGTGCAAGATGGTGCAAGTAACTCCAACTTCACTGTGGGCCTACAATACATAATTATGTCTATTATATATATATATATATTATATATATGTGTGTATATATGTATGGTTTAAAATAAATGAATGTAAAATTATAAATCATATGTAATACATATATATATATATTATTGCCGCTCGTACGGTTTTTTAAAACCAACTTTTTGGTATTATTTCAGGATATTTCAGGGAAATTTGCAGAAACACACGAACACTTTCCATGGTTTTCCCATTGTAAATGGGAGGTTTCCTGTAATATTCTCTTCAAACCCAATGAAAACATGAAGAAGCACAGGTGCATATATATATATATGTATATATATATATACAGTGTAGATATGTATATATATATATACAGTATATATATATATATGTATACATAATGATTAAGTATGCATATTTATATATATATATATATAGATAGATAGATAGTGAATTATATACATATGTACAGTATAATTAATAGTATATAGTGAATATAGATACATATATCATGATATATATATATTATAACCACCACAACAATGATACAACAATGATAAGAAGGGAACCAGTGAGTTTCCAAAAAGGAATCAGTATAAATGCAAAAAAGTATTCGCATGCAGCTTAATATACGGAACAGCCAACCACCACGAAAGCGGAAACGAAACATGCTTTGGGGAAAAGATTCGTCTCAGCTATTATATTGGACTTCCAGATTGCACCCCTGGCTGCAAGGCCACAGCGTTGAGTACAAGCTCTTACCGGGACAGGCGGGTGTTTCTTGAACGCATTCACAATGCCCCGGTAGTGTTGTGGATACAACCTATCCTACAAGTCTGGTATGTACCATTAACATCCATTAACATCCATGAACATTTTTGGAAGTTCATCAGTCTGTTCAGTTGTCTCTTTTTCAAATGTTATTGTTTGTAGATGTTCAATGCTAGTTTGAAACGCCCCGAAGGTGTAAGCAGCGACGTGGGCGCGTCTTCAGTAGCACGGGGTCCAACAAGACACCGTGATATGTTAAATTTGAACAATGTAGGAACAACCAACAATCTAGCGAAACCTGGCATTTTTTACATGATGGGCTCCCATAGTTCATCATTTCAATGCATGTTGGATCCTTCTTGCAAAAGCCTACCATTGTAGCACAGCGATTGCCTACAACAAGGGCCAGGGTCACTCTGAGTCAGCATCATATGATCTCCATAAACTTATATGGTTCTCCAGTCATTGATGCTACAAACTCATTCTAAAGTTCTAAAGGGTTAAAGGCTGGGAGCCACAATCAAAACTGGAAGCCGCAATCAAAGAAGGTATGCGAATCCACCAGCACCAAATGACTACAGTATTGATATGTATTGATCAGAAATACACACTAGTGGGTACTGCACACTCCACAATCAAAATCTCTATCCCCCCAAAAAATATGCATTAAATTGGGTATGCCCCGACTTTGGCTTCTTGCGAACCCCCTTTTTTGTGGTTGAAGGTACCTCCTTTATGTCGCCACTTCCCCTATCAGAAATGCCAAAACCAAA